CAATGGGTAGAGTGTTTGGCCAGAGAGTGGGAGACCAGGGTTTGAGACTTACATGGACACAATTTAATTATTTATTTATTTTTATTGGTTATGAACACGTTTTCTCATGTACCTCTAATGTTTAGTTCATTAAAGCCTTGTTAAAGCCTATTTGTTCGTGTTTCTGAGGTATTTTGACTGCTGCTGCTCCCTGCTCTGGTAACAGCATGCGGAGTCAGCGCAGAGCAGAGGAGGGAGAGAAAAAAAGAAGYTGGGACCACGACTCTGCCTCTGGGTCTCTCATATGGTTGTACAAAGGAGCTTCTGCTATTATTAGCCATGCTAACGTAAACGCTGGCTTTGCAGGGTGGAGTTAATGTCAACAGATTTTTGGAGGGCGTTACCAACAGAGCTCATTAACAGAAACAGCTCTTCTGAATGGAAGTCAGAGCAGGCAGAACTAGGAAATGGGAAATGTTATTATCTGAGAATTATTTTGTGCATTAAATTGAATGAACATGGTCTGGATAGCCCACAGGCATACCATAAAAAATTCTAGGACCCATAATTGGTCTCCTTTAAATTAATCTGAGACCAGACCACACAGTTTCACTTTGTTTATTCATGTATTTTCTGCCTGATGGAATATTTTCCACAACAGTCACCAAAAAGGATCCCCTCAACACCTTGGCTATGCCTAGAAATTCTTTCCATAGAAGTTATGAACATAATCGTGACACAGAGCAACCTTGGCAGAGTCCAAATCTCACTAGAAATGAGCCCGACTTACTACCAGCAATGCGGACCAAGTTCTGACACCCATCAGACAGGGATCTAACAGTCCATATAAAGGGGCCTGGTAGCTCATAGTTCCAGAGTAATTCCCACAGGACTCCCTGAGGGACATGGTCAAACACCTTTTCCAAGTCCACAAAAACATGTAGACTGGTTGAGCAAACTCCTGTGAATCCTCCAGGACCCTGCTGAGGGTGTAGAGCTGGTCCAGTGTTTCACAACCAGGATTAAAACCACACTGCTCTTCCTGAATCTAAGATTTGATTATCCGATGGACCCTCCTCTCCATGACCGCTGAATAGACCTTAGCAGGGAGGCTTAGAAGTGTGATCGCCCTATAGTTGGAACACACTCTGCKGTTCCCCCTTTTTAATAGGGAGATCACCACCCTGGTCTGCCAGTCCAGGGGAACTGCCTCCGATATCCATGCACTATTGTAGTCACAGCAGCCASTGCAACCCCACAACATCCAGAGCCTTAAGGAACTCTGGGCGAATCTCATCACTCTCAGCACCTTGCCACCGAGGAGCTTTTAAATCACCTCAGTGACCTCAGCACCAGAGATTGGAGAGTTCACCCCAGGGCACCCAGGCTCTGCTTCCTCATTGGAAGACGTACTGGTGGGGATGAGGAGGCCTTCAAAATATTTTGCCCACTGACCCACAATGTCCCAATTTGAGGTAAGCAGCACACCATCCCCACCATAAATAGTGTTAGTAGTGAACCACTTTTCCCCCTTGAGATGCCGGATGGTGGACCAGAGTCTCCTCAAAGCTGTACAGAAGTCCTTTTCAATGGTCTCTCCAATCTCCTCGCATGCCCAAGTTTTTGCCTCAGCAACCACCCAAGCTGCAATCCGCTTGGACTGCAGGTACCCATTAGCTGCTTCCGGAGTCCCACGGGCCAAAAAGACCTGACAGGCCTCCTTCTTCAATGTGACAGCATCCCTCATCACTGGTGTCCACCAGCAGGTTCATWGGTTGCCACCACAACAGGCATTGGCAAACTTGCGGACACAGTTCCTGTAAGCCGCCTTGACAATGGAGGCATGGAACAATGTCCCTCTCCTCCCTTGGAATGTTTTCAAAGTTCACCTGGAGGTGAGTCAAAGCTCAGTCTGATGATAGACTCTGCCAGACTTTCCCAGCAGACTCTGACCAGAATCTGACTGGGCTGTTGCTGATGTTCCAGTAACTGCAGGCCATGGAGACAGAATGGTCAAAAAATAAAATTTTGAACCAAGTTTTAATACAGATTGAAGATAGGTCAGCCTGGAGTAATTTCGCTATGATGGACCTGTCTCCAAATTGTTTCTACTGTTTTATAGACAGGTCMATTATGAAGGGGTCAGTAGGCGCAAGGGTGCAGATTCTTCATGACCACAGTGAGAGGGAGCACAGTTACCCACTAGGTGGTTTTGTAAAGGTATCTCAAGCTGAGATATATGCAATCAACCAGTGTGCAGCATCTCTCAAAGAACTTCAGTGTACACAGAAGGATATATTCATCCTAACAGATAGCCAAGCTGCTATTAGAGCTCTCTGTTGGCCACATTTTATGTCAATACTGGCTTGGGAGTGTACCAAAGCWGTCAACCAACTGGGGAGAGTTAACAGTGTTACTGTTAAATGGGTACCAGGACATACTKGCATTTATGGTAATGAGAGAGCTGACAACCTTGCAAGAGCTGGCAGTCAAGCCAATTTTAAAGGACTAGAGCCTCCTATAGGCATTTCAACAACAATCTGTAGGATTGTTGTACAATCTGTACTCCCTCCAGGAATGGATCAGACGTCAACATTCAATCTGTTGAAGGTAGCTGATGGATTGCATACAGGCACAAGAACTGATAAATGGCCCAAATCCTAGGTTTGGAAAGCCCTTCTTGCCCTGAAAGGAAAAACTTTTAGTACATTGGTTGGAGTCCTAACTGGGCACAATTGCCATAAAATGGTGATGGGACTCCATGAYATTTGTCTGTATGATGTCTGCGGCATTGAATTAGAGACCTCTTTGTACTACTTAGGCCAATGCTTTGCCCTGAGTAGTCTAAGGAAAATAATTCTCTGAGAACTTTTTATGGATCCCGAGAAGCTTAGAACACTGAGTGTTTCCAGTGGCCCTCTTTCGGTTGCCGCAAAGCTTTGATTAAAAGCTCAGTGTCTCTTCGGGGAGAATAATGGACCCACTTATGAATGTTTGAGTCTGCCAAGCCTGACCGGCATCCTCCCCACCATGGGAGCCAACTCATGACCAGGTAGTGGTCAGATGACAGCTCTGCCCCATCTTCACCCGAGTGTCCAAGACATGTGGCCGCAGATAAGATGAGATGACAACAAAGTCGATCATTGAACTGTGGCCTAGGGTGTCCTGGTGCCAAGAGCACATGGACACCCTTATGCTTGAACATGGTGTTCATCATGGACAATCCACGACAAGCACAGAAGTCCAATAACAAAACACCGCTTGTGTTCAGATCATGGGGGCTGTTCCTCCCAACCACACCGCTCCAGGTCTCACTGTCATTGCACACATGAGCWTTGAAGTCCCCCCAGCAGAACAAGAGAGTCCCCATTAGGAGTGCTCTCCAGCACCCSCTCCAAGGACTCCAAAAAGGGTGGGTACTCTGAACTGCTGAAAGGTGCGCATGCGCAAACAACAGTTAGGACCCATTCCTCCACATGTAGCCAGAATGAGGCTATCCTTGCATTCACCAGGGTAAACCTCAATGTACAGGCACCAAGGTGTGGGGTAATAAGTATGTCCACTCCTGCTCGATGCCTCTCATCAAGGGCAACTCCAGAGTGAAAGAGTGTCCAACCCCTCTCCAGAAGACAGGTTCCAGAGCCAGGTTGGTGCATCAAGGTGAGTCCAACTATATCTATTTGGTACCTCTCAGCCTCAAATCCCCACCAGAGAGGTGACATTCCACATCCCTAAAGCCAGTTTCTGTAGCCAAGGATCAGACCGCCAGGGTCCTTGCCTTCGACCACTGCCCAACACACAATGTACGACCCCTCTCACCCCTCACACATGGTGATCCCACGGGAAAGGGAACCCACATCTCCTCTTAGCGCTGTACCCAGCCAGGCTCAATGGGCAAAATCCTGGCCACCAAGCACTCGCCACATTCACCCACGTCCAGGCCTGGCTCTAGAGTCTTGGTGACTCATGTCTGGGCGAGGGAAAACTAGATCCATTGTTGCTGTTCATTATAAGGGGTCGTTGGGCTGCACTTTGTTTGATCCCTCACCTAGAACCTGTTTGCCTTGAGTGACCCTACTGGGGTCATGAAGCTAACAGCATAGCTCCTAGAATCATTGGGACACTCAAACCATCACGATAAGGTGGCAGCTCAGGAAAAGGCTCAGTTCATACTCTCAGTGCTAAATCTAGGTTTGATGCACCAAATGTGGCACGAGAGTGCACGCGCCAACAGTGAYGCAATTGTGTTTGTTACGACCCCTTCTTTTGAACCAGATGCAGCAATATGACAACCATAATAAATAGATAAGTCACTGTAAAGGTGTATAAAAACTTGTTTTTTTATTCTGCTCCAAATAGCTGCCCAACATGTGAAGAAGAAAGATTATTAGGTGGAGCCAAACAAAAGAAACACACTAAACAAAACAGGGCCTATCTACGGTCTAGTCTAAATTGAAAAAAAAATGAAATAAAAATACCATGATACACTTATCTAGTCTCACCAAAACATTACATGGTTGTCATGATTTGTGTCTGTGCTTATGATTTAGTCTAAGTTTTCTGTCTTTTCCTCCTGTTTTCTTCCTCCTGTCTGCCTTTTGCTCTAGCCCCGCCCACTCACACCTGATCCAGGTGTTTCTTGTCTTACCTCATTAGTTCTTCCTTTATATTCTGTCCTTTGTCCTCAGTCTTTGTCAGATCCTTGTTCTTGTTCTCTTGTTCTCTGTTCTCTGTTTGATGTCCATGTCCATGTTCTTGTTCCTGCCCAAATCCCTTGTTCTTGTTTGCTGCCATGTCAGCACCTTTGTTTTGTTTTAATAAATCACCTTTTTGCCACCTCACTCAGTTCTGCATCTTGGGGTTCTAATCAACCAAGCTCATTCATAACAGAAGGATCTGACCACACCTGAACCCCAGCAGACCGAGGTGAGTTTTTTGTTTCCAGCACCAGGAGGGTTGTGGAGAATTTTTTTTCATGTGGTGGCCCTGAGTCAGACTGCACTTAGGTTGGCATCCAGAGAATGGTGGAGAAGATGCAGCGCCAGCTGGCTGTCCTGAAGGAACTCTTTTCTTCAGGGTGTCCCTCAGAGCTGGCAGCTCTGGGAGATTCTGAGACCCACCCTTCCCACCCCTCTGATGCTGGACCTCATGCTCCAGCTCCAGCTCTGGTTCCTGTGGGCCCTCCAGCTCTGGTTCCTGTGGGTGCTCCAGCTCTGGTTCCTGTGGGCGCTCCAGCTCTGGTTCCTGTGGGCGCTCCAGCTCTGGTTCCTGTGGGCG